GAATCCAATGACACAATGGCTGTCCATGCTTCTTGATCTCACAGCTAAAACAGCTCCTGCTTGCCAAAAGCAAACACTATGACCGCGAGCATGCTTTCCGAAAATTTCGGAATTTTTTTACCGGGAGCTTGTCCCCCTAAAGCTACCAAAACTCCGAAATCTTATGTAATACCGCGAGATTTCCTAAAGCTACCAATTAGTGCCGGGAAAGACGTGCTCCCGGTACTACAATTTCCGAAACTTTAGTACCGCGAGACAGGCACGCAAGAGCCTTTCAAAAGGAAACGCGCCAAAGGACGAGGTTAAAGGTGCCAGGGGCGTGCACAAAAAAACGGAGGCGACCAGCACGACACCGTATTTAGAGAATAATATCGCAAGACTAACAAAAATAAGCCCACTAAAGCCCCAACAGCTAATCGCAAATACATGTTACGAAACTGCGAGGTCTGTCAGAATCCTTTCAGTCTGAGCGAGCGGGCCATCCAAGGTCATGTCGATACTTTGCACACAACGCTTTGGTTTTGGGGATTTGATCTTTGAAAGGGACATCGAGCATGTCCGTCAGTTCCGGAACCCGCTCCGGAACCCTAACCCGCTCGGAAACCCGCTCCGGAACCCTCTTCGGAACTCGCTCGGAAACCTGCTCCGGAACCCGCTCCGGAACCCGCTACGGAATCCGCTCCGGAACCCTCTCTGGAACCTGCTCGGAAACCCGCCCCGGAACCCGCTCCGAAACCCTATCCGGAAACCCGCTGTGGAACCCGCTCCGCAACCCGCTCCAGAAACCGTTTCAACGCGCTGCAGAACCCGCTCCGGAACCCTCTCCGGAACTCGCTCGGAAACCCGCTCCGGAACTCCGGAACCCACTCCGGAACCCGCTACGGAACCCGGTCCGGTCTGCGGAATCGGAAAGGCATAAAGGGGCTTTTTCCCAAAGGTCCTTTGGCGAAGTTGGGGATTGTTGCATCGGTAGGCTATACATGATATCTCACCATCATTTTTAGAGCACGGTTGTTCTTGCAACGCTCTCTTTTTCTGCTTTCGAGCACGCCAACCAAACAAGCGAAGCTTTGCCTTTGTCGAAAGCTGGAGCCAGCTCGACGCGATGACATGGTTTGCACGGGAAGGGATTGCTGGGAAGTCAGAAAGCTGGCGAACACAACATGGCCTGGTAGCCGGACAGCACAAGCAGCAGTCATATCTGGTTTGGACAATTTCCTGCTGCGTCGGCATGAGCTTGTGCAATCATGCGGGCGCAGCAACAGCTTTCCGCTGGAAAAACAGTAGCAGACAGTCCATGAGTAGCATCTCAACGCGTTTCCTGGTAAAGTTGGCCGGCCAAGTTTTAGCTTGCTGGCAGACAAGTGGATTGAGGTGTATCACGTTGCCGTTTATCATTGAGGTAAAACACTGACCAAAGTCTACCTTTTCAATTTAGCAACGAGAGACAACTCAGAGATTGTGTTTCATCGGAAACGCATCACAAACTTTGCGATGCATTTTACAAATCCCCGCATTTTCCCGCAAAATCTTCCGAAAATTACAAACTGAGCTTTACAAATCCCCGCAAATCCCCGTATTTTCCCCGTAAAACGGTTCCGCGTTTTGCAGGAATTTATAAATTCCCGCATTTTCCTGCAAAAGCCCGAGCGTCCTTTGCAGCAAAACAGCGCCCTGTTGTATTTGTCGCTTGCAAGCACTCAGAGCAGCGAGTTGTCCAGACAATCGTAACAGGATACTCCCCTCCAGCTATCCCCAGTCTTGTCGTCGCTGCCCAGTACGGTATACCAGACTGCGTGACGTAGCTCCTGCACATTGTTTTCTGAATCTCGGAGCATTCGTGAGATTCGTCATGCTGGGATTCACATGCATCTCTTCTTACTTGACCACTCATGGCCACTCTGCTCTTGTCACGCTTGGTCTGGAGTCGCACGCATTGGCAACCTTCTATTCCAAGTCGCTGTGCCGCCTTCCGGTGCTGCTATCTTTCAGCCCAGAAGCGGCCTCGTCCCAGCATTTGTGTTTCAACACAAATTCCATTAATAAACATTTGCAAAACATCCCCCCCTGTGCAGCCACCTCGATCGTCCTAACCATGCGTCGCTTTACGCCCGAGTTCACCAACCCTGTTGTAGTTGCCGGGCAACCTGCATCCCGAAAAGGCCCCCTGAAAAAAAGGCCTCCTTTCTCGGAAACCCGCTCCGCATCCGGAACTCGCTCGGTAGCCCGCTCCGGAACCCACTCCGGAACCCGCTCGGAAACCCGCTCCGGAACACTAGCCGGAAACCCGCTTCGGAACCCGCTCCGAACCCGCTCCAGAAACCGTTTCAACGCGCTGCAGAACCCGCTCCGAAACCCGCTCCGGCAAACCCGCTCCGGAACCCGCTCCGGAACCCTCTCCGGAACCGCTCTCCGGAACTCGCTCCGGAACCCGCTCCAGAAGCCGTTTCAACATGTTACAGAACCCGCCGGAACCCGCTCCGAAACCCACTCCGCCCGCTCAGCCGCTCCGGAACCGCCTCCCGGAACCCGCTACAACTCGCTCCGCGCTCTGGAGCCCGTCCGGAAACCACTCCGGAACCCGCTCCGAAACCCTCTCCGCTCGCTCGCAAACCTGCTCCGGGACCGACTCCGGAACCCGCTCCGGCTCCCGCTCCGGAACCGTCTCCGGAACCCGCTCCGGAACCCGCCGCTCGGAAACCCCCTCCAGAACCCACTCCGGAACCCGCTCCAACCCGCTACGGAACCCGCTCCGAAATCCGGAACCCACTCCGCGCTCGTTCCGGAACCCACTCCGGAACCCGCTCCGGAACACGCTGCGGAACCCGCTTCGGAACCCGCTCCAACCCTCTCCGGAACTCGCTCGCAAACCCTCTCCGCAACCCGCTCCGCAACCCACTCCAGAACCTGCTTCCGGAACCCGCCCGCTACGGAACCCGCTCCGCGCAACCCGCTCCGAAACTGGCTCGGAAACCCGCTCCGGAACACCTCACCGGAAAACTCGCTCGGAAACGGAACCCGCTCCGGAACCCGAACTCCGGAACCCATTCCGGAACCTGCTCCGGAACCGCTTGCCGGAACCCCGCTCTCCGAACCCACTCCGGAACCCGCTCCGCAACCTGCTCCGGAACCCGCTACGGGGCCCGCTCCGGAACCCGCTCCGGAACCCACTCCGGAACCCATTCCGGAACCCGCTCCGGAACGCGGTTTGGAACCCGCTACGGAGCCGGCTCCGGAACCCACTCCGGAACCCACTCCAGAACTCGCTCCGGAACCTTCTCCGGAACACGCTGCGGAACCCGCTCCGGAACTCGCTCGGAAACCTTCTCCGGAACCCAGTCCGGAAGCCTTCCGGAACCCACTCCGGAACCCGCTCCGGAACCTGCTCCGGAACCCGCTCGACCGGAACCCGCTCCGGAACCCTCTCCGGAACTGGCTCGGAAACCCGCTCCGGAACCTGCTACGGAACCCGCTCCGGAACCCGCTCCAGCACCCGCTCCAAAACCCAAGGGCTGAAGACACCATCGCTTCGCTGTTGGGGAATAAACAAGATTTCCAAAGTAAGTGCCCGCACAAGCAAAGCCCAACCGAGTCGTAACTTTTTCTTCGAGTATAGAAAGAAATTACTCCCTAATAATTTATTAAACTAAAGAGATATAAAATTAGTATTATCTTATCTGTTTTTCAATAAAACAATTAACAGAATTAGCGTTCCCGAATACCCAAATAAAATAATTAGAGCGAAATAACACATATAAAAGAAATCAAGACCAAGCTAGACTTGCGTAGCTTGTACGATGCTGTACTGGAAATGCTGCAGTTACAGTGCGGTGTATAGGGTATGCGTGGCAGATCCAAAATATCGAATCATTCCCTATAGTTTTACTATCATGAAAACTTGAGACCTATGTTGCCATGTTGCTTGAGCAGCTTCAACGAGACGTCGACAAAAATCCAATGCTTTGTGGAAGCAGCGTTCGCCCAAAAAGGCGTGGTACGAAATGATTTATACATTTTCCGGGATTTCCGGAGTTTCGTGCAGCACGAGAACCCGAGCTCCCCGTGGTTTTACATAAGGGTTTCGTACCCTAGAATACGTCTAGAACGACATCCTCAAAATCCCAGCAAATTCTGGGCTGCGCACCAAAGGATTCGCTTTTAATTTAAAGGCAGGTAGCCACAGGCTTCCCGACGATCCCAAAATGCCGGGATGTTCGTGATTTCGTACCGACAGCCGTTCTATGCAAATCCGAAACCACAAGAAGCGTGCAACATCTTGTAGAATACATTTCTACAAGATACGAAAAAATCGATAAAATCTCAAGTATACACAAAATCAAAGTTCGAATACTTATTCACAATTCCGGAGAAATTCTTTCAAACCAACTTTGGAAGTTCTTAACTTGAAATATATATAAAAGTCAAAATACCTCTAGAATTTTGTTGTTATGGGAATTTGTTTAAATAATAACCATGTCTAAGTTGAATCAGGCGAAATTGAACCACAAAAAGATCAAGAAGCAAACCTCAGAACAATAATACCAAGAAGGCAACCAACCTTTTGTTCTGTTTCATTCAATCCAAGCCAATAGAAGGAAGTATACATTTAGTAAGTATAGTATTGACTCGTTGACTTTCGTGGCTGTACGCGCTTTCAGATGCCTTTGGATGTGGTTGCGGACACATTCAGCATCGTGTGCGAAAGTTCTGCAAAGCAGCCTTGCACATGAGCAACATTGAAGCCAACCGAAGAGAACCAACGAAACGTGGCATGATCTTAAGAGGACATCACAGTGGTGAGAACTGGAGACTACTTGCAAAAGTGAAACTGTCGCAGAGTGAGACTGTGTTGCGAATCAGCTGGGGGCAGACGCGAGGTGCCTGCTGCAAGAGTCGTGCTGATTGGGGGTTGTTCATGTCTTGGGCATGCACGAAGTCTGTGTGATTCATGGTCTATTGCTGCACTACTGCCTGCTGCCTACGCTGGTAAGCTGCTGGTCTCACAGCGGCGGCAGAGATCCCTGCAGGCGATTTCACATCGGGTGTATAGAACTTGGGTTCGAAATCACACCATAAATCGGGCCATCAGACATCTGAGTCATGGACATCCCCCATCGGCTTTCCGGCACCACCTGGCGATCGTCGGAAGGCTACGTACATTGAGATCATGAGAGTTGTGGAAGAAAGGAAACCCGTGCGTGTGGAATTCCCAAGACTTTGGGCAAGGCCTGGCTTTTGTTGGACAGTCATGGAGCGTGTCGTGCCGCCCGCGGATCTGAAGGATGCAGCATGTCACAACGCTCCGTCAAGCCGATCACGCACCAGGCCGGCTTAAGTCGCCAGCCCATCGGGGCCCTGCAGACGTCCCTGCGACGTGACCTATGTTGCCACTGACTATGCAAGGAATGCTCGGCTACTCATGGTGGTTGATTCTGACGTCATCTCCTCGCCCTGCCGCTTCCAAAGCTCACTGAAACATCACCATTCTGGAATTCTCCACGGCACGCCGGCAGCCGAAGCCAGGAATCCGTCTGCAACGAGGCCTTCCGTGAGACTGCACTGCAGTATCGCGAATCAGCTTCCAGGTTTCTGTGTTCGAGACCATGCGGCAACGGATGTGGTGTCTTGGTCTTGAGTGCATGCCTCAAGGATGCGCAATCTCACCCGAAACGGAGCAGTGGGATCAAACGAAAGCTGCTAAAGACACAGCCCACTTATTAATTCACTGCAGCCTATGCAGCTACGATACAAGTGCCTGTGGTATCAATTCATTTCATGCAACTACTGAAACTACTAACTCCTTGTCGTCGATATTACGTGGCTGCCGTGCCTGCTTGATCCTCTGCTAGGTCGTCTGCAGGCCTCAGGGTACGTCAAGCCATCGCGGGCGAGACCGAAGATTCCCGGAAGCGATCTTCTTAATACGCGGTCCAACAAAAAAGTCCAAAATTGGATGGAATGCGGCTGTCCAGCTTGTTGCAAGAAGCCAGGCGGTGGAGAAATTCTCCCTTGAACGATATACCAGGACAGCGCAAGTAGCAAGGAATAAAGAAGAACGGCGATAACGAGAAGATCAAACGTGTTTTCGGAATTATGCCTGTTGGCCCAGCCGAGTCCTCAAACACCTGCTGCACCCAACCGACACCGAACCCAGTAAAGTGGGACACAGGGAGACACCGGCCCGAAACCCCGACGATGATCCACTCGACGCTCGGCGGAACGAACAGAACCGAGCCTCTTTGTGGCAGATCGAACACTTCGAGGCTTGCGCACTGGCATGTCCGGGTCAGGGGGACTCTGGTCCTCAAGGAGGATCACGAGCCGCACCTGGCAAGGTATGTGAACGTCAAGGGAAAGTCAATGAAAGAGTGAAGAGCGATTCGCAAGGTTCCGCCGTTGCGAGACTGACAGGGATCGTTCCGGAACAGGGGCTGCTCTGCAAGTCCAGCCTGATTTCCCGAGCGTGCTCGCAGGTCCCCTGTCACCGGGTCCTGCAAGCCAGTGTCCACTTCCAGGAATTAGGCCCGGGCGCCGATGCGAAGTGCATTGCTGTAAGCTATTTCAGTCCTTCACCAGCGTGGTGACGCCCGGGATACGCTCCACGAAGCCCTGCATAATCATCTTGTTTCGTGACAGAAAGCTGAAGAGCGCCGGAAGTGAGTTCAGGCTTTGAGCAGTGTCCGCGTGGCTCTGCTTTGCTACGCGCATCCGATGTTCGAACGGCTTTCTCGGCTTGTTGGGACATCGGACAACAGGATGGTTTGAAAGGGATTCGTGTTGTGGAATCAGTTGCATAAGGGTCATGCTCAGGGTCAGAGTGGCACAGAACCCACACCCCTCAAGCATGTAAAACGGAGGTCGCATCCTTGCCTAGATGCTCAATCTCAATAACGACTGCACGGGCACCTGGATATCAGCCAGAGCATCGTTGTCGAGCCTGTTCCTGTCAGAAAGCAGTCAGTAACCGCTTTGTCCCCAAGCTCCAAGCTTGCCCGAATCCGGCCCCTGGCTCCCGCGGAGGCCTCCGCATGTCCAGCTTCGTGAGGTACGGACACAGGTCCAGCCTGCCAGGCTCCAGACGACAAAGAGGAATGCAAGAGTCTCTGCGTGGAAATCAACAGCATGATCGGGGCAAGCTGCAAAGGAGGCAAACAGGTGCTGTCTAAACAGCCGGAGGTACAGCTCACAAATGAGTGGCACCGCAGTCTTGTCTAGGTTGTTGTCCTGCACCGGTCTGCGCAGTGCTGAATCTGACGTGTTGAGGAAGGCTGCTCACTTTCTGATGGTAGCTACCGCGTCAGCCATTCAATCGCTTTGTGCGCAAGCTTTCACTTGTAAACTCCCTCTGCAACATTCTCCCAACTCCTGCAGGCGGATTTCCTTGACCTAAGCGTGCCCAAGTGACAAGAATCTGAAGCATGTGCGACTGGCGATGCCCCGGCTTGGGCTGGGGATTGGACGTTTTCTTCTTTCATGTAATTCTGGATGAGCTTCTTGAGCTCACCAATCTCCTACAGGAGCTCCGCAGCTGCAGGTGGCAGAACCGAAGCGGGCGGGGCCTTGTTGGAGTACTGCAGGCCATCCAGGTACCTGAAGAACACCCTAGCTCTGCAGCAAGCTCCTTGGAGCTGTACGTCCCGCGGCAACCGCACTTGACGGCTATACATGACGGCTAGTTCATTCGAAAAGAAAAAGGCTACAGCATCCTCATCTGAACGGTGTCCTCGGGCGGGTCCTGCGGTCTTAAGGAACCCCGGGCCAACAGTCGGAAATGATTGCCCCTCGAAGAGCTCAAAAAAAGAAACGACCCTGTTTTAACTGAGATGTGCCGAGTTGCAGAGCATTGCCCTCCTTGATGCTGGACTTGTGGCCCTTGACTGAACTCCTGCTGCTGTGATGGTCCACAGTCGGCACAAAGTCACGAAAGTTCTCGGGCCAAGTGCTGCGAACCATCATGATTCTATTAAGCTTGATTCGGATCGCGGGGCGCCTCATCTCGAACTCATTCGAGGCGATCTTCAGCAAGGCTCGCATCTGGCTTAGGAGAGCAAGGACGACCATCAAAGGCCGGGATATCGTTGAAAGTATTTAAGGGAAGCTGCTCTCCGAGTAATAGTAGACTACTTTTTAACATGTGACTTCCTGGAGAGTGAACGCGCTCTGCAGGACTGTTGCCAATCTCCGTGCCTTCCAGGTTTCGCACATCTGAACCTTCTCGTACAGGTTCTTGTTCTTTTCCCGCAGGCCCTGCGCAGATTCGTGAAGACACGGAGTTGGACCGGCATCTCCGGCGATGTGAAGTCACTCGCCTGGAGCATGGAGTTGGACCGTTGGAGATCCTGCGCGTTTGTAGGGTCAATGCGATGGCCATGTCAGTCATCCAAGAAAGGTGCACAAAGTGTATCTCGTGGAAGTATCTTGATACGGCAGTCCTGGAGGTACATGTCTGATTGCACTTGGGTAGTGTGCAACATCTCCAGCAAGTGCCTGCGCAACACTTTTGCATAGATAAAACTACCTTTCTGGCTAATCGCCGCACAAAAAGAACGAGTGTCGTAATATTGGCAGAACAACCAAACCGAGAGCAAGCGAAACGAAGATTCACCTGCTCGCGCCCCGTGGCTGAACCGTGTACATGCCAGAATCATGGCAAAGTTGCGTGATCTTCTCCACGAGCATTGGCACAGGATTGCGCGCCTGCACGTCGAAAGCTGAAACACTGCAAAGATTCCCTTGTGAGTTTGCCTGAAATAGCTGGCTGGGTCTGTTCCGTCCCTGGTGACAGCTCTGGCAGCCTGCTGCGAGCTGTACAGGAACTCGTTAATCTGAAGTCGCTCTATTAGCCTGGGCAGGCAGGGCTGTTGATCGGACCACCTGTCATGAATGAGCGACATCTTCGGGGAGTTACTTGCTCTCTCCCACCCTCTCCCTCTCCTCTCGTATTTCCTTCATTTCTCTCCCTCTCGCTCTCTTCTTCTCCAGGGCATGGGGGATGTGCAAAATCTAGGAGACCAGGGCCCCCCTTGTGTTTTGGGGCTTCGTGGGGATGTGACGGGAAAGCAGGAACAGCAAAGGTGCGGCTACTTGGAAACACCTCGGTGACTGCAGCGTCATCCTATAGACAGACGTGGACAGTACCCCCGACGTGCTCCACACTTCGGGTGTCAGCTGTTTTTCGGTTGAAACAAAGAGCTCCCTCGGCTCGGACACAACACCTAAAAGCAAAGGAAACCAAGCTCACCATGTCGAGGCCTGTCAACGTGCTTCTCTCCTGGCCACATCTGATGTCTTGGCTTTTGCAGCTGTGAACAGCGATACAGCCCTGTCCATCAACTACCCTCCATATGGTTTCCCGGCTGCAGTTTCAAGACATCGTGCATAGGCAGGCTACAAAAGTACGTCTCGGCTAAAGCAGTCCCCGATATTCTCTGTCGACTGTGGTCCTCTGATGGTGAGAATTTGGCCATGGCGTGCCGACATGTCACACGTCCTCTTCTTCCCCAGGGCATAGGGGGCGTGTCAAACCCCCCGACCTACTGGCCCTCCATATGTTTGGGGGCTTTCGGAGGTGTGAGAAAGTTGTTCGAGTTTCGAGTAATTAGTTTGTATCGATATTTTTGTAATTGTTCTGAGAAAAGCCACAGGTTCCCCGAGACTCGATGTCGTCGAAACGACTCCCCAAAGATGCAAACATCATTAAGGCGTCCATTGGAGCTGATCACACGTCCTCTCTCTCTCTCTCTCTCTCTCTCTCTCTCTTTCTTTGGCCAGGGCGGTGGGCCAGGGGTTTCCCCCCTAGCCTCTCTCTCACTCTCTCTCTCTCTCTCTCTCTCTCTCTCTCTCCCTCACTCCCCTGGGCATAGGAGACGTTGTAAGCCGGGCTAAAAGCCCACACATGTGTTATGAGCCATGTGGAGGGACTGTAAATGATCCCCCTCTCTCTCTACCAGGTAAGAGGTGTGGGTTGGTCCCCCCACATGCCGCGCGCGAGCGTGCTCCTGCGGTCCTTGGCAGGTGCGTGTTTCCTGGCGGGGGTTCGCCTCCCCAGGCTCGGCTCTACATTGAAAGGCCGTGGAAAGAAAAAGAGTCCCCCAGCTGATTTCAGTGAACAAGCAACAAAACAGCAGCAAAGCATAACTAAGCTACGGCAAGGACCACGCTATCAGCTGAGGCACTCCAGAGCGGGTTGGCGAGGCAACAACATGCAGGTTTCCTCCCCTGCTTCTTTCGAGCAGGAATCTGGTTTGTCGTGGTTGGAACGAGTTAATTGGGCCTCGCACAGGTTCCCCTAATTTTGGTGGGCCTGAAAGGTCTGAGCTACGAGGTGAGTTGAAAAGAGTCAGGGATTAGGGGCACTGCGTCCCATTGGTACGAGTTGAACGAAGGGTGGCAATCATGCCTACAAAAGTTCACACCTATGCTCAAAACTTCCCTCGAACGGCAACTCAGGACTTTTTCGAAGTCGGCGTTGGCATGGTAAGGCATCGAAACTCCGCTGGTTCAAAAACTGCAGGTTGCTGTTCCCCGTCGGCGTCAGTGTTGGCTGCCTGGCAACTGTCCCCTCCGTGCTCGGGCCAAAGGCTCCTGTACTCGCTGCAGGTCCAGGCACATCTGGTTGGGAGTGAGTCGGGCTCCCCCTCCACCATCTTCTCGTCTGGCCGTTGGTGCTTGGCGAGGAGGTCCCCCGGTTGGCTCGTTGGGCCGCTCTGCGAGGATCCCCGTGCTGTTCCCTCGATCTGAGAGGCGCCCGGCTTCCCCCCACGGCCACTGCTGGCTATGTTCTGGTGTCTGCACTTCGTCGTCAGAACTTCTCCCCCAATCTGGAGTTGGGGGGGCTGTCTTCACCAGCACGGTCCTTTCTCACACGTTGGTCTGGAAGCTGACTGCACTCCTTTCTGTCAGGGTCCCCCAGGTGCTTGGCCTCGGTGGTTGCGTCCACTGGCTCGGTGTCCACACTGGGAGTGTCTACCTCCCCCTTGCTTTTCTTTGTCGGCTTGCTGATAGTGGTATCAGTGGGTCTCGTGGCAGCGCCACGTCCCCCCTCCTCTTGTTGGGCACGAAGCTTCTTTCTTATCTTCCTGACCTGTTTGAGGAGGGGCACGGCTTTGTCTGGGAAGCGGCATATGTAGGCTCGCGTCTCGTCTGCTTGAAGTGGCAGGTACTTGTTCCACTATGTGAACTAGTTTGTCCGCGTACTTCCCCGTCAAGTTGCGAGCTCGGTGGCCCCTCGGTCACGCAAAGGCTTCTGTCTTGCATGTGCTGTAGGTACGTTGGCCTGAGAAGTCACCGCCCCGTGCAAACGACACTGTGGGTCTTGTCTGTTGTGGATCTTCCGCATCCCTATGCTGCACTTGCCCCCAGCATATCTGCAAATGCGGCACTTTGGTTCTTCTCCATCCCCCGCCACATTGGCATTCATCACGAGGTCGCCCAGCAGGAGTATCACGAACTTTGAGGCGTTCGTGTCCCCCGCCCAGTGGTGATGTTCTTTCTGGTCAGCTTGAACACACGGTCAAGGGAGTCGTCGATGTGGTGGTCTGTGTCCTCCCCCAGTAAGAAGAACAGGTAGGAGTTCTTGCAGTGCCTCGCCCCCCGACAAGGTCGTAGTTTTTTGTTCTTGCCCGTCACGAAGATTGCTCGGCGCTACGGACCTATGTTTGGGGCCACTGTAGCAACACGGCCGCGGATACGGGACTCAAGCCCCTCCCCCCCGCTCGGGACGTCCACCTAATAGAGTCACTGGGAACAGCCAGCGACTCCAGAGGGCCGCCATTGAGCGCCCCCCAAAAGGGAGCGGCGGGTTGACTTGAGCCAAAATGCTCTCTATCTCTCTCTCGCGCTAGCTCTCAGGCGTTTGCAGGAGGCACTGCCACAGGCAACCAATGCCAACTGCCCCAACCAGGGATGTCCGACGCGGGATGAAGCTGAGCAGCTTTGACTCGGATTCGATGAGGATTGGCTTGGTGCGGCCAGTCTCATCCAGCATGTCCTGTGAATGAGAACACCCAGTGCACGGTAAGTCCCAATGTTATGCCGCGTGAACGATGCACTTCTAGTCACAGGTAGCATCCAGCAACTTCATGCTGCGATGCATCCCGGCAAGATCTTCATGAAGTTATGCCTGCAATGGCTGTGGTAAGACGAAAGCCCTGTCTGCATGACCCGTCCGAACCGCACAAAAGGAGCCATCCTCACGCTTGATGTAGTCCAACTCAGCCTTAACAGCCACCTGGGCAGTCAGCGCAGGAATACGAGTTCACATGTGTGACATGTCTAAGCTGAGATGCGATCACCCCCCCGAGCTCAGTTCTGGAGGCCTTCTCAGCCTCGACGTCGTTGAATCGGTCTTCAACTTCGACTCCTGGGTAAGTCTGAGACGATGCCTTCGGGCTTCAGTCGATGTGTAGTGATTCGGGTCACGGAAATAGCGAGGTCGGAATTGGGGTCCGAGTGCACATCCGAGTGGCTCTTCTGAAGGAGCTGGCCGTTGACAGCCGTCGCCTGCATCAGCCAGCAGCTGGACTCTCTGTCAAGCTCTCAGCTTCTCCTGAACATCACACGATATCACACGGAAAGCAGCTCTTCCCTGCTTCGTTCATCATGCTATGTGGGTCTGCCTGGCGAAGCTCATCCTCGGTCCTGCGGAGGTCGTACCTGATAAACTGCTTCGGGTTTTGGTCCAAGCAGCAAGGTGCCTCATGTCCTCACCTGCGAACTGTCACACGTGCAATCTCAAAAATCCAGAAAGTACAACCGAAGAATGCCGGGCCTGAGGGCACCTTTGTCCTCCTCATTGCCGTCAATGCGCCTTGAATGGGTGCTGAGAACTTCTAGCATGTCGAGTGCAGTTGTGTGGGCTCGGGGTTCGGTCAGATGCAGCGACTGTGCAACTCCTGAAGAACATCCAACTCGCTAAACCTGCTTGGAGTTGAGAATACGAAGCCATTGCAGAAATCCTTGACCACTGAAGGCAGGAAAAGAAAAGTCAATTCCCGACAAGCATCGTTCCTAGGTAGTCGTTCTGTGTCTGCAGCGCCTGGGAGCAACCACTCTTCCAGCGCACTGGTTCGCAGGAAGTATCACTATGTACAGCCTTAGGTAGTGCGATGACAGGAAGCGGCCCAAAAGCACACTTGAACTTGGACACGCTTCGTTCTGCCTGCAACTGGAACAGCCTGGAACACTCTGGAACGTGCCACGACTGAAACAAACGCTTCGCGGCGAGAGGGCGCCTCGGTCTTTTCGCGCAGCTCCAGGAGGCGCTTCTCCACCTATCATTGCAGCGGTCACTGCACGAGGGAAGAAGCTCTGGTGATGGCTCCTCCTCGCAAGTTGAGCCAGGACCCCCGGGCCTTCTCCTGCGCCTTCAGCGCGAGCTGGAGAGCCTCCTCAAGCATCTTGTTCTTCTTCTGTAGCAGGGCCTCGACAGGAAATAAGGCGGCTGCAAGCGAGACGATGGCACTTGGTTTGCCCATGGCTGGATCTGCAACTCGTTTGACGAATGTCTCTCCAACCCACACCCCCGGTGTCTCTTGGGGAAAAGGCAGGTCACCTCGCCTGCATCTGCGCGGCATTTCGCGCTTCGGCCTCTGCTGCCAGCTTGGCATCGACCTCGGGACACAGGCTCGCTCCTGTTCGCAAGTCGGCTCCCAGTGGGTGTTTCGGGAAGGCGCGGCGGAAGCCCCAGGAATCAGATTACCTACCTAAGCTCAGACCCGATTTCAATCACAGCAACGTCATGTCAAAATCCGGTGTCTTTAGCTCTCTGGGCCGGTCCCTGTGCTTTGCTCCGTGAGAGTCATCTCAAAGGCCCAGTGCACCTCAAGCTCTGGCACCAGGCCTCCATCTGCAGCTGCTGCTGAAGATTCTGGCGCACAGCGAGGTCGAGCTTTGGAGGAGCTTGCCAAGAATTTCCCCCCCCAAACAACAACAGCTAAGCATAACGGGCAGGAGTGTGACAGATTGGGAGGAAGATTAGCTACGAAGTTGTGGCGAATCTCCGGCGACCACAATACCCGGCTTCAGATCCTGGAATTTAGTTTACCACAATGCCCTGTGAAGCTTCAGGTCTCGTCGAAACCACGGAAACAGCCTCAACATCCTTGAGATCAGAATGCGACATCCCAAACCCAGGGCTCCAGCGGTCCTGCGACTGCTTTTCAAAGGAGCCGATCTTCTTCTGCCTTGAGTTTGATTTTCAGAAAAGACTCTTGCCAGACCCTAGTTTTTCGAGGGCACCTTTCCCATTCCGAAGAGGCCTGGGATAATTGAATGGAGCTTGGGTTTTTGGCCATCCTGTCAGGCCTGCAGGTCAAGCTGCAATGTGCGGACTTCGGGATTTTTCCAACACGCAAGTATGCAAGTCACCTCTCAACATTTGCCCGAACTGCTTCCGAATTGTCAAAGACCTTAGAACCCGCCTGGGCTGACTGGTTCAAGACGATTGAAAGTTGTGTACCCGTGAAGGGCCTCAAGAACCTCCAGACCTAACCCCATGGTTCACCCTCACAACTTCACCAAGGTGAGCGAAGTGCGACTTAACACAGCCTCCGTCTTTTCACCCGTTCCAACGCCCCGTCGTTGGAAATACCGCATCTAGCTGAGCTCTGGCACTTCTCCACACCTGCCGCCTCCGTCTTCTTGAGGTCGGTCTGACCAAACACGCATCTCTGGTCGTGCCACGCTTGCTGTTTTCTGCCCTACCTGTAGCAAAGCAAGGCTGCGATGCGCGCAGCAAGTCATGCATCCGAAGTTTGCCGCACGGACCCGTCCCGAAGACACCCCTTCCCCTTCCTTACTTCTTGTCACGGCGGCCTGGTGCTGCCGCAGCTGGTCCATCAAGGCGTAAACCTTATCGCCCAGCTGCCTGAAGGAGACATCAATGGGCCGAAGAACTGCCGCTGTCTTCTGCCTCGTTCTACGACATTGGCAAATAACTCAAAAATAACATGAGTTGAACTCAACTATTGTAATTTTGCTGTGATGATTCTTTGCCCTCGACCCAGGCTTCAATCGGGCCTGAAGTTGTCGGCACCCGCCTTGTTCTCTTCCTGGCGGCGTCTACTCCAGAATGCTCCAGAAACTTGCGCACTTTGTATCCAGTCTCTCCATCTTCAAATAATTTTACGGGACACGTACCTTAGACTTAGCCGCAGGTCTCGGAACCAGGCAGGCGTGCCGCGGCGGGCCCTGGCCTGCATCTTCGTGTTCTGGTCCTCGGCGTCCCTCAAGGACTGGCGCAAAGCATCGGCCATCTTCTCCAGGCCGTCCTGAAAACGTCAACGGGAAGACAAGGACCGCAAAGTTTAAGTTTTTTGGAGCGAAAAAATGGCTCTGAAGTGAATTCTTTGAAGTCCTTTATGGCTTTGAACAGAAGGCTTTCATGTAGCAGCAACTGAAGGCAAACACATTGTCAGCTGTCCGTCCACCTTGTGCTCACAAGAGCTATTCAGTTCGTTCCCTGCGTCTAATGGAAGCGTGACTGGCGACCATGAAATCAACGTCAACAGCTATCCGTTCAGACAAAATGAAGTCATATGGATGGGACGAAGAGTTGAGGCGGAAAACATGCCTGTGGGAAGCACGAACTCTGATGTTGAATGACAACTTTGGAGCACTCTCCAGTCTATGGAAGTTCTTCCACCAATTCCGATGACTACGGCAAACCCATTCCCGTCGCCTTCCGTCTTTCCACCTCGGCTTTACTCTGCCTGAGTGGTGTCTCGGAATTTCCCCGACGCTTCTAACGGGCTTCAGAACAACACAGCTGCAGCCAATCCGATCATTTACAGGGCATGCGCTTCCAATCTCCAATGTGCGGATGCTCAACCACTCCCCCTATCAACCAATCTCCCTGGCGGAGTGAGGGGAACTGCAAGGAAGTACAGGTAAGGACACTTTCTCAGTCATTGCGAAACGAAAACATCAATTCCGGGTCTGTCTCACACCTTTAGGCACTAAGCTCCCAACATCCACTTGTCGCGGTTGTCAGCATCCATGTCTAGCTGCATCCTTTGAAGGACACGAAACGAGGCCAGCACGCCGGGCGCAAGGTCAGCACATGTTCTTCAAATGCGGCTCTGACTCTCCCCGTCTTCTATCGAAGCAGCGAGGGGCATGCGTGATGCTGAAGGACCCTAGCTAGCCTGGGCCTGGGACACACCAGAAGTTCGCTTCAATTTCGTTGTGATATGTTGTGGCAAGCGGCGTCAAAGCACTTGCAGTGCACACACACCGTCTACGGCCCTCGCTTTATGCCCTTCTTCTGGACCGTCAGCTCGTCCAAAGTTTCCCGAAGTCTGTTGATCGCCTGCGGCATGCTAAGGGGCAATCACGGAAGTTGTAACGGTGCACATGTCACGGAAGCCGAGGGATCGTGACGGCGTAGCCCGGAACTGTGCCTCTGCTAAACGATGCTCGTAGACCTGGCGACGTATGGCAGAGCTGCCAAGGCATCCAGGACTCCAAGAGCTTGCACGCATTGCAAAGGTCTGCTTTGCGCAGCAGATCGCGGTGAACAATGGAGGGGCCTCGTTATGCTGGATCTGCTGGAGATACTGGACATTCCTCGGCTGCCAGTTCGAGAGAGATCTACCGAGCGCTTCGCAGACCACCTTCGCCGAGTCGCATGTCTTTGGACTCCTTCAGCTTGGACTCCAAGGCCTCAGGAAGACAAGGATCGTGGTTTCGTCGCTGTAGGATCATGGTATGGTATGGTATATCGTATCCACTTGACTGCTGGACCTCATCGGTTCTCAAGCTCAAGCTGGAAGAGTCCACATCCTGGCCTCGATGTCAGCTTTGGCTTGAGCGCTGAAGTTCCGCTCTGCCTGGGGAGGCGCAAGTCTGGGTCCACAGCTCCACAGGCTTCAATTTAGTTCAATACGTGGCTTCAACGATCTGCAGTCTCACCGGAACACTCATGCTGACTCAAGCAATTGTTCAGATCTTTGCGAAACCAACCGGCTTCATTTGCTGTCCTACCGCGTCGATTTGGCATGTTGGGGCACGACCCGTACGGGCCTCTGCAACATGCCGGGTATCTGACATGCGCAAGATCTAACCGAGATATCCAAGACGTCTGCTAACAGATTGCAAATCCCAGCTTTCATATTTAGGATTTGCACTCAGGCATGAAACCTCAGCTAGTCAGTTATCTGCCAGCTTCTGCAGTGCCTCCTTGAGTTGCCCCGTCTCGGATTGCGCATTTCGTAGCTCCTGGCTGCCAGGAGACGGTGACCAGGACTGCGGTTCTCGTTGATGGCATCTTTGGGCAGCAAGGGCTACATTACTGCTTTGGAGAGTTTCCACCAGGGATCATCGCCTGACGCCGTGCCGGTTGGTTGGCTGCGGAGTGAACTGCTGAAGTGCAACCCCTATATTTGGGATAACTTGTTGCTTACGTTTGGCTGGTTCGAAAAGGCGGCCCTCTGAATCAATATAGTTCATTCATCAAACTAATCAGTTGGTTACTTGGGTACTTCATTAGGTTGGTTTACCAATTGAACAGCTAAAGAAAGTACTTCATCAAGCAGTTTATGTAACTGTCGAAGCCGGCAGCCGGCAGGATCATGACAGAAGGAACATAACCCTTCCAATTTAAGGATTTAATTGTGGATCCTGTGGTCAGCCTACCTCGAATTGCAGCACAGTGAAAGAGGCGCTTACAGCATGCACGCCTGCCTCCTCGAACTTGGCGATCTCATTGTAGGCTCCCAGCAGCTGCTGCTGACCTGGACTTGCATTGTGGAAGGGCGCCCCGTACTCCATGCTGGGAACATGATCCGACAAGGCGGTCTCTGCGGGCCAGGCCTGTTGCCTTCACGAGGTTGTACTCGTCTGAGATCTTCTGAAGGCGATCCTGGAGTCACTAAACTTTACGAGATATGAGCACCAAGCTCTCGTCCTCCCTGGAGGCTGTTGAAAATGTAGAGGGTAACATTCACACCTGCTCTATTGTACAGACTGAGTAGTTCCCAGGTGCCGCAAGGCCTGTGTCAGAACCTGGAGCCCCGAAGAATCCAATCCCAAGCCTCCCTCTCACTGGGCACACATGGGTTATATGCAGATATAAAAAGAGTGCAGGGTCCATCTGAAGGTTCGCTATTCCTCAAAGGGACAGACCGCGACCCATGTATGCCCAGCTCTCCAATGGGCGTGCCTGCGTGATCATGAGCTCTTGTGCCTGCCAGGGACCCGGGAGGCCGTGAAACTTCTGCAGTGCCGGTTTCATTTGGGACTCGGCTGGGATGGAGCGTTCGACGGCATCCGTGCATCGAGTCTTGGCAGGGGCCTTTACGTTTCATGCTTTCTTTGGCAGTTTTTGATTAGTTTGGGTCTGTCCTCGTGCCTGGGTTTGCCGCTCCTTGACGGTCCGCTCCTCCTCCTCGAGCATGTCCTGTCGGCGACTCGGAACTGCAGCAAGCCCAACGATCTACCTGCACATCTATCCCCCGAATCTGTGCACTTTTCATGTGTGCTCGTGTAGCTGAAAAGGTTGCAGGTGGATGCTGCTGCTGCTAGCATCACGATCCAGGAGGGAGCGGTTCTGCTCGGAGAGGACCCGGATCTGCTCGTCTCGCCTTGGGTCATGTTGGGTGTTGGCACTGTCACACATCTCTTGGGCTGCTAAGTTCAGACTCCATACGAGTATATTGTGAAGCAGCGACCGAACACGCTAGTAACTGATTTTCCCGACTGCTACACGGCTACACAGAAAGGCTCTCGTTTTAAAGGTGGAGGTTCCAAGGCGCCAGGAGCTGACAAAAGGCCATGCGTTTTCTGTTCGCGAAACGTCCGCAAGCGTCCGCGAATCGTTCGCGAGACGTGCGCCCTCTTACATGCCCACCGCCGGCCCTTCGGGGAAAGCACTTGGGGGAGCGTCGCGGGGAGCATCGCGAAGTGGCGTGGGGCCGCTGGCGCTCGCGGGACCTTCGGGGAAAACAGCTTGGGGCGTGTCGCGAGGAGCGTTGCGGGCCGCCGGTGCCCGCCCTTCGGGGAAAGCGGTTTGGGGGCATGTTGCCGGGATAGTCGTGGTGCGGGATCTTCGGGGAAAGCGGTTTGGGTCTGCGTTGGGCTGCCCGGCGCTCGCTGGGTGTCTGCATTCGGGCTCGTGGGTCCTATCAGGTTCTGTGATCTTTCGCGTCGAAGGCCTGGCCCAGAAGCTGCTTTGCTCACTTTCAGCTTTGAGGATGGCTGCCAGAGCACGCAGCCGGCTGGGCATTTCCCAACTCATGCAGTGTTCCAATATCGCATTTTCACACTTCGGCACAGTTTGGCTCAGGAGCCAAATATTCGTAATGCTCCCCCTTCAATTCTGCCGAAGGTTTGTGCAGTCGACCCAAAAGAACAATCCTTGAGGCTTCGATTTGTAGCAAATGCAGGCGAGAGGCTTGTGGATCTCAGCAGCAGAGATGTTGCACTTCTCCTGTCAGTTGAGACGGCATCGCAACACTCTACCTCCTGACCTGCCACTGTGTGAAGCCTCTATACTTGTATCAGCACAGGCTAAACTTTCATGAGACTGATGCATATTGGCAAGCGACAATTTTTCCGTGCTTTGTACATGTGCAGAGAAGTGATCTAAACGGAGGGCTCACTCATCCACTTCGAAGCTAACCTCTCTGCTTGCATCTGGGCCCGTCTGTCAAGCGGCTCTTTGATTCGCCCTGAGAACCCCGCACCCAACGCCCACTTTTCTCAAAGTAATCCGATCACATCCGCCTCCGTGTCCGCCAGCTCCTGCTGGAGCTTTTGGTACTCCTGCTGGATATGCTGGCGCCGCTCCTGACCGTGGCTGTGCAACTGGTCGTGTGCAGGGCCTAGAAGTCTAGGACTTACCTTGCCAACACAAAGCATGCTGCTGTCGGCTGCAAAGCCTGGCCTCCCATTGCGCGATGGCCGCGAAGGCTTCATCGCGCTCCTGGCGACAAGCAGTGTTTCCGGCTTGGCATGGGTTTGTTGATAACTATCTCGTTCTGTTTGCTTCGCCTTGCTCAGTCTCTCTCTCTCTCTCTCTCTCTCTCTCTCTCTCTCCCTCTCTCTGTGTTGCATAGCATCCGACATCACATGTCAACTCACTGGCGAGTTCTGGCCTCCTCCACTCGGTCGAGCGCTTTGGTCGCCTGTGGCACGGACGTCAATGAGGAGCCAGGCTTGAGGGTCCTTGTTTGTTGTTACAGCTCGCGAAATTCGGAGCCACCTTCCGGAGTGGTATGTCGGGAGCCGGATCATTCCCCGACGAGCTTAGGAAACAAAAACAGAACATGGGACAATGTGCCTCCTTGTTCTGCTCTTGCAGGAATCGAACATTGTTATACCTGCCAGACAGATGCGAAAATAATTGGCAAGGGACACTTCGTGCATGACGTGGGCTCAATCTCTTTCCAAACTCCTTGGACTTCGCTTGGCTTCTAGGCCTGAAGTTCTCGTGCTGCTTGTCGCCCTGCGGCTTGGACCAGGTGTGGGTGCCGACGAGGCTGTCGGCAGTGCCTCTCGAGCAGATCATGCCCTGCTCTGGCAGGCAAGGACTTCGGCTTTGAGCGTGGGCGGTGATACCTCACCCCAGCACATGGAGTTCAACCACCTTCAAAACTTCACTTAGGCCTGTGACAGTGGCCTCGGAGTAAAGCCTTGGTCATCTTTCCAGTGCAGAGCTTCGCCGGACACGGAGCAGCGTTTTAGCTCTGTCCACACTGTCCATACACCACTTAGCCTTTGAAGACGGGAGGCAAATCGAAGCACACTTTGTGGTCAACAAGTGAGGCTCGGCGTAAAAGGCACAACAAATCTCTGACTCGCCAGAGCTTAATCAACGGGAACCTCTCCACCTTTGAACCACGTGTCTGAGCCCGTCATTGATATCGTTCCGAAACGTACAAATCCCACGGTCATTACACCAGCACACAATGATCTCTAGAGGCTCTCTGGCAACTTAGACGAAAGCGTTTGCGAGAGAACAAGCAGCTTTGCTCCACCGCCTCCTGGGTCCTCCTCGGCAGCCTCGGCCGCGGCCATCGGCGGCCCTGCACAGATTCTAGGAGAGCCATTTCAAGAGCTGCTCAGCATTCCTGAAGTCTCCCGAAATGGCGAGAAACTAACATGGATCCAGCCTCCGCGTGCTGCGGGGTGAAACCGGAGGGCCCCGAGGTCGTTCGGATTCTACAGTGCGGTTGAGGAGCCGATAATCATGGAAAGCGGACCACGACAGTGCACATGTTCTGCATGCTCTATCTAATTACACTCCTTCGGGCCGATACTCGCATGCTTTTTTCGAGCACAGTGTACTGCACAACTTCCAGAACAAAAAGTACTCTGTCGAACGAGAGCAACAGTGAAAGCCGTCAAAGCCCAGTTCAGCATAGAACCCCACCCAAACAGGTCTTGGGCCGGGAAGCTCTGTTTGTTGCTATGTGTTGGTAGCTGAATGCAAGCGGGTGGTGGCAAACATGGACTTTTAAGACATGTACACCGTACTGCTACTTCTACTCCCATTGCTCCTCCCCCTCCCTACTCTCCCTATGAGCACAGCACACCGCGGCATCATCTTGGACATTAATCAGTTGCCACATTCCTGGTGCCCAACTGCAACTTATTTCAGTCTGCACTGCAGAACTGCAGCGAGTTTCCCGAGCTTCACAAGCCGATCTTCCTTTCTTCACGCTGACTTTGCCCGTTGCATGGGAGAAGCGACAGTTGTCTCCACGAGAGCAGCCTGTCATGGCCACACTGCTGAAGCGCTGCTTTAGTCTAGGAGCTTCCATCGGATATCATTGGATAGGCGACAAGAGTTGTGTGAGAAGGCACAGTGCCAGGAAGGTCTGAATGCCTCGGCCAGCATCTGGCAACGTGACACCAAGTACAGACCACGGGCCTTTCGCTGAGAAGAAGTGTCGACATGCGTTGGGCCTCACGCAATTTCAATTGTTGAGAGTCCGGATGAATGCAGGCATCGTGGCGCGTTCTAGACAGGCTCCAAGCTCCAAGGTTGCTGCGGAAAAGCGGACAGCCGACTGCACCGTCCCGAGAGCCAATGAAGACTGTTTCTTGGGCTCTGGCGCAGATGTAACAGACTCTGCCTTTGAAGACCTCAGCGCATTGGGGGAGCATGTGTGCCCCCGCGCGCAATGCGCGTGTGTAAAGTCGTGCCGGCCTGTCCGCCGACCTGCTTGCGTGCATGGGGGTGAGCGAGAGGAACACACCCACCGCCCCCCATGGTGTCCCGTGAACCCTTGATGAAGCCTTTACACACAGGAGGTGGGAAACTAAACTCCGAAGCTGAAGGCCCAAGCCGTTCCAGGGAGGATGACAACACGCAGAACCATTGGGGAACGTCAAACAACCCAACCCAAGGCGGGGGAGACCATCGAGGGAGGTATGTATGTATGTATGTATGTATGTGTGTGTGTGTGTGCGTATGTGTATATATATATATAATATGATATATATATATATATACACATACATACATACATGCATACATACACACAAACACATGTGCGTGCGTGTGCGTGCGTGTGTGTGTGTGTGGGTGTGTGCTTGTATGTGTGTGCGGGTGAGCGCGTGTGCGTGTGTGCGGGTGTGCGTGTGCGCGTATGTGCGTGTGTGCGCGTGTGCGTGTGCGCACGTGTGTGTGTGTGTCTGTATGTGTCTCTGTGTGTCTGTGTGTGTTTCTGTGTGTCTCTGTGTGTGTCTGTGTGTATGAATGTGTGTGTGTGTGTGTCTGTGTGTCTGCCTGTTCTGTTCTGTCTGTTCTATTCTGTTCTGTCGTGTCTATCTGTCTGTCTGTCTGTCTGTCTGTCTGTGTGTATCTGTCTGTGTGTGTGTGTGCGTCTGTTTGTTTTTTGTTTGTTTGTTTGTCTCTGTGTGTGTGTGTGTGGGCATGGGTGTGGTGGTGGGCGTGGGTGGGCAGGTGGTTCGGTGTGCATGTGTGTGTGAAATCGCAACAACAGGTCGCACCTAGTTGCATTCTGTTTTTGTTTTGTACCATATTACCAGGAGCACAGTCATCACCCACCGGGCCAGAGGTTCGCTATGCTTGGGAAATCTAGATCACAACTAGTTGCCATCGGTGTTTTTCCAGCATTGCATTGCCGTCGTTTTTTGGAAGCATTCTGCGCAATACATGCGCTGCAGTTGTGTTCGAAAACACGAACTTGGAGGTTCCGGAGCTCAGGAGCCTGCGGGAATCATTCCGTCTACTGGAGCCTGGCGAGGCACTATGGTACTGCGGCAATTTGCTTTCCCCCAAATACTGGTGGGACTCAGCAACATGAGAACGGCGGAAAGTGCTTTCCCCAAGTACTGACACACTTCGGAAACACGAAACGCGAGACTTACCCGCCTTAGCTTGCGAAATCCAGAGGAAGACCCGAACTCCGCCGCCATTCGAGGTTTTCGAGCAAAAAATTGCCATAAATGGTACCGTAATTTAGAATGGATCGGGCTCTCCAGGGCACACGTCCGGCCGGAATCCTTTGCAAATAATAGAACGTCAGCGAAAAGTATAGGCCACGCCACAACAGGAAACGCTTGTCGCGAGCATCCTGCATAAATCATACGATGCTGGGGCCAGATCCGCAGAACTAGCTGCAAATAGTAGGATACGAGGAGCCAGTTTTCCACGTGCCGGGCGCACGTGCAATCAGCTCTCTGTGCTTTGAACTCAAGAACCCAGTAGTGCTACTGTACCTCATGCTGGAAATCCGACCGCTTTCAAAAGGACACCCCCCAAAAAACAGTGCCCTTTTGATTCATAGTTCAAGTAGTGCCACAGTAAACGTTAAGCTTCTGGTAACGGTCCTGGAGCCTGGCAGCGAACTTGGTGACATCCTTTTCTGCAAGTTGGGGCTGTTTTGGAAGTCTCCAGCTACTGATCCGCTCCATCAATCCTGTGTGAGGTGCCAGTGTGAGGTGACAAATGCTATGGAGATCTATGGAGGTCCCTCATCCAAAGCGATGTCCCGAAAAGCAGTAGCAAGAAGAGCAGTATCAGCAATGACGACAGAAGCGGCGGCGGCGGCGGCAGCAGCAGTGACAGAGCCAATGGTAAAAAGAGGACCCGCCATGACCACCAAGTCCTCAATGAGCAGTCACATCATCATTGCAATCACCTTCTAGCTACTTCAACCTGAATTTTTGAGCACCGCTTGGGGCCCAAACGACTTGAATTGATCGGGCTCTGCACGCAGGTAGCGCCTCCACAGATTCGCAAATTCCGTCAGAAATCACGGCTTCCAAAAACGCACCTGGGCCTACACCGCAATCTCCAACCATACATACGCGACCTAAATCCAAGCTCGAGATGTCGAAAGGTCCTTCCCGTCTCGAGGCCTCTCGCCGCGCTTTCGCTTGGCACCGGCCTCTCGGGCCAAGCGCCGGCGCCGAAGAAGCTCCTGCCAACAACAAGTTCCCGCTCCGAGTTGACGGCTGTCTTTACCTTTGCGGGCTTCATGCAGTGCTGGGTGCTGCAGCCTCTAAAGTTAATGCCGCTTTGTGCTCGAAAAACAAGGTTATCCAGAAACGGTGCTCTTGGAGCTCGAATTGCGACGTTATCTGTTCTTACCTAAGCAACATGACACCCACGACTCGCACTGAATCTACTCAGCTAAACCAAACAATCGTGACCGTCGCTGTCCCATCCTCTAGACCAAGACACCCGAATGCGATTTCTCCTCCCGAGCACGTTCGGCTCGCGCTCGCTGCTTGGGATTTTGCTCCTTTCCACAGGCTGAGGGCAGGACTTGTGTGTGTGTGTGTACCACCCTGAGACCAAGGGATACACGACAAAATAGCAGGGGGCAGCGAGCATTTCTGGATTGCGCTGCCTGACAAAAACCGTCCAGATTTGCTGTGATATAAAACCGTCCAGATTTGCTGTGATATGAAGAAAGGACGCCTTCTTCACGCACCTGCTACAATGGCCGCCCAAATTGTCCCGTCAAAGCTGTTGTTGTGTAGTGGCCATCAGAAGTGATCGAACAGGTACAGTGGCCAGGGGCCAAGCCAAGAATCCCAACTCTTGAGATGTAGCTGAAGAGGTGAAAGAGTAACTTGCTAACCAATGGTATAACTTCGGTTATACTGAGGGTCGTTCCACAAGTGTGTATTTTGGCAGGTTTCAGTCGTGAGGCTCCAGCTTTATGTAGAAAGCTCGGTGGCCAGAAAGACGACCGCAACAGACCCTTCAAAATACTCTCCTACATAAATGTTGTAAGATGACGGGAAAGTGTGCACTCATGCTCCTAAATGCCATATCTCCTACTATACAACTTGCGTGCAAGAATGACTTCAGCATACATGTACTATGCTTTTCTACTCTACAACTTGTGTGAAAAAATGCTATAGCATACGCGTAGGTGTGCTCTCTACCCTACAGCTGGTGCCAAAGCAATGCCGTCCTTACCTTCCCGTGTTTCCAGTTCTTTTCAACGCCACTGGAGCAGCAATCGCGGCACCACGCAGAGCACGAACTTCTCTTGGTATTGGGCTGTACATCCGCTGCCTAGAATCGAACTACACTCAGTTCGAAGAGCTGATTCACCCTTGTCAGAACGTACTCGTCGCTCCGGGATTCGCTCGGTACGAACGAGATCTTGCTCAAGATCTTTTAGGTGCAGCTCTTTCGTGTTTTGAGTATGTTGGAACGCGTAGAGTGCAGCTTTTGTTTATGTTTGAATGCGTAGATTGCTGATTAGTGCATGTTAGGAGAAAGAAGACACAGAAGATCTTCACCGGCACCAACGTTGAGAACGCCATCAGTACCAGCACCACCTGTACACAACTTTGATGGCAGCACTAATGTGATTCGGCCCACACTTCCTCAGCTTGATCCGAACACAATTGATCATCCAACTACCGCACACCTACCACCCATCAATCCAGAGTCACCACTTCCACGTCCACCACCACCTTGTATCACTTATCTATGTTTGCTGCACCACCTACACAACAAAATCCCCTTCGTCCTCCACCACCTCCACCTCCCATCACCTCACCCTTGCCACCACCACAGCCGA